GCTTTCGGTAAATTAGGTCTACTACTATATTTTTTATTAAAATTTTGATAAATTGGGCCAATTTCATTCCATTCATAAATAAGGCTTGATAATGCTTTTCCAGTGTGAGAATTTCATTTCCAAATGAGGCCCATTTCAAATGCATCAGAAGGCGATAAGCGGTTTAGGAATTCTCAAACTTATGTTGCAGTGATTTCTTAATTCTACTCAACTTGTTTATCACGTAAGTAGTATTCAGTTTATTTGTTTAAAATAAGAGACATTTTACTTAACAAGGTAGAAATTAACAATTATCTTAAAACAAAGAGTGAAGTTGAGTCATTAACGATTTATGAACTTCAGAATTTTGAATTCATGCTTGGCATGGTAATCTAGTAAAGGTTATTGCATGCAATCAATATTATGAGTAAATATCTTCAAATCGAAATCAAGGATATTGATGGTGTTATCGACCTCTTACAAGGAATTGTTTCATTTCTCGAAGATTATAGAGATTGAATTTGGTATTGTCATGGATAAAATGACAAAAAGGAAAGTAAAATGCGAATTGAAATTGTATTATGAGAAAAACGTATAATTTGATGAAAGAAGCAATTTGACAAAAGTAATAGTGATAATGTAAATCAATCAGCTGAAGAATCCTTTAGAGTTAAATACTTTCTTTTATAATTAATCAAGCTCCATCTTCTCTAAAATTCGATTTGAACAATTTAAATAATATGAAGAGGTATTTGAATTTTTGTTAAATTTGAAGAGGTTGAAACGTGTAAATTTTTTCAATTTGTTGAAGTCTTGTATGAATGTTGAGAAGTATATGGAATATAATGGATGTTCAGATGTTAATGGAGACTATTTATGCTATGAGTTACATGTCTTCAGGTGCTATATACCAAGTGAAAAACGAGAGCAATTGAAGAACTACAATTTTTAAAAAAATCCCAAATATTTATGTTACTTACAAAATTTTGCTAATCATACCTTACCTCTAATCAACTATAACTAAAGAAAGATTGAATGTATTGACTATATTATCAATTGAGAAAAAAATGGTTGAATAGGTAGATTTTCAAATTTGATTAATTTTTTTAAAATTGCTAGATGAATAGTATTTAACTAATTGTTTGGAACATTATCGACTATGTTATTTGATTATAATATAAATATTTTGGATTATACATTTTATTTGTTTTATACTTAAATTTTAATTTAGCAAGTTAACTATTGATTCCATAATACATTTATAGATTTTGCATACACATTACCATTGTGGGGGCATAATTTATGAAATTTGCCTCAGGCCCCGAAAATCACAAAACCAACACTACAGATAAGTTGACAATTCTAATTGACTATAGATATAAGTTTGACAGGAAATGAAAAAAAGTGAGGTTGAAGAGCACAAACGTGTGCTTGGCCAGGAGTTCAAAAATAAAAACCTAGGACCTTTGACGTATTTTCTTGGTAAAATATACTCTTGATTTATTGGAGGTTGGCATGCTTGGATGTAAACAATGTGATATTCCAATTTAAGTTAATCATAGACTTGGTTTTGATGAAGAAAGAAAGAAAGTTGACAAAGAGCATTATCAGACTCTTTGGTAAGCTAACATACTTGTGTCGTACAAGATTGATATTGCCTTTTCTGCAAGTGTTGTTAGCATGCATATGCATTCACCAAGAGGAAAAACACATGGAAATTGTGCACCATATTCTAAGATATTTGAAGAAAAATCTAGGGGTACGAATTCATTGCCAAGAAAAATGGAACATGAAGGTTAGATGCTGATTCAGTAGGTTTGGTGATGTTGATCTCTATATTGCACATTTATTGGAGGCAACCATGTAACTTGGAGGAGCAGAAACAGGTTGTGGTTGCTAGAAGTAGCATTGAAGCTGAATTTAGAGCAATTGCTCAGGGCGTGTGGAGCTACTTTGGCTAAAACTTAATTTCTTGGAAGAATTGAACATTGAAATAGAAGGGCCTATGAGATTATAAATACAATGTAATAAGGCTGCTATAAGCACAGACACAACTTGGTTCAATGGGCAGATCTTGACTATTGGAAAAAAAATTTGAACACAAAATACAATAATATAGATATAAAAATTAAAAATTTCATATTAAATATTCTCAAATTTCAGTGGGGCCAGTGGGCCCCTACTCTCTCCAACACTGACTGATGGACGCTTCATTAAGGAAAATTAGAAAGTAGAATAATTTGCATGACATTTGCCCCAACACGAACTAGTGGCTGAAATTTTCACTAAGAGTTTGTCAAGGACGTGCTTGATGCATTACCAGGCATGCGGGGTCTTCTAGATATTTTCGAACCAATTTGAGGGGGAGTGTTGGCATTGTTAATTATTTTATGCTATTTTGAGTCAAGTAGTTAGGATAAATCCTAAATCCTAAATTTTAGGAGTTAAAATTCTGTAGTATTTATTATCAAATTGTTAAAAGATTTTACCAGTTTGTTATCATACTATAGTCTTAAAATAGTTTGTGTATACACAATGTATTTGTACTTCTCTGGCATATGAAAATACAGCTTTTCTCCTACCATGTTGACATGGTGTCACAACAAGCAAGGGTCATGGTTTAATTCTTGCGGCCACCCATTTAATATAATTGTGCATGTGTTAAGCTTTGATGAGATGGGAAAAAAATGAATCTCATCTGCACAGGATGAGGTATATTGAAGATAATATTTAAATAATATACATGTCGCCTTCTCTAACAGATTAAACTTTTAGATTATGTGATTCAACACTCCTCTATCAACACAACTTTTGGATAAGGTGATTCAACATGGTGTAACAACAAACAAGGTTCTTAGATTAATGTCTCTCTTTTGTCTATTTATGAAATTTTAGAGCGAGTAAGACCTTTTATGCAAAAAATGGATCCAGCTAGATGTGAAGGAGTGCGTTGAGAACTAAATTTAGATAAATGAAATTGTTCTCTCTTCAACGTCTTAAGCTTTTCTATGGATAATTTAACAATCGAAAAAAAAAATAAATAAATAAAATTGTGACCATCATAATTGATGATTTGCATAGCTAAAGAAAATGGTACCTTCCAGGTCTAAGCATTAATGTTGCTGTAAACATTGTGTAAGAACCAGTATACTCTGGAGATAGGTGCTCTCCTTCACTCCAGCCATCAAAGGAGCCCATGATTTGCACACTCTGACACATTTACGAGACTACAAACTCAAATTTCCCTAGTTGATAATATTAATACACTGTAAATTTTAGGAGCAAATGTTTACCAGAAATAACATCAAGCACAATTATTCTCAATGCTATGGAACCTTCCAAATAACAGATTCGATATGTAAATGATTTTACTTGAGCGTAAATTCATAGACACCACAGAGCATCGTTAAGGATCATGTTCTAGTGTAGACTTGCTCAATGATATTCTTTATCACTTATCTATCCATTAAAAAGATACAAAAGTTCCAAATTGTTCGAATGTGGTTGCTAGCTATGAAGAAAATTATATCATTCTCAGCATATGCAAGTATCAACTACGAAGAATTCGTTTAATCATCTACAAGTCACTTCTAAAGTGCTTTGCAGATATTATTTCCACTAACAAGATAACAAATGAAACAAAACTATTAAAATTGGTAAAAACTGAATTTGAAACTATAATTAGTGAAGTATCAAAATTAGTAAAGTTAATAGAGCATGTTCAAATCGATGCTGTCTTTGTTTACTAGTAAAACAATATTTAAGCCTGTTATTTCAGTTTCTCTGAACATTTTGTGCATTAAATATGGTCGATGTTGTTCCTATTTTTAAAATTTAAACTCAATTAAGCCCTTCTTTGAGCCCATTTTTTCATCAAAATACATTTTTCAACGGTGATTTAACATCATTTCAACCACACATTTTTTAATAAATAATATTACACGCAAACCCAAAAATTTTCCTTATTTTCTAACTACACATTCTCCATCATAACACTATTTCAAAATGCATTTTTCTAGAAAAATGCGGCTCAAACAACCCCTAAGGCTTCTTCGTGCATGCTTACCATTTTCAAGAAAATAATGAACCTAAGAAATGAAAAGAAAAAGTTATTTAAGTAGTTTATTTGCATAAATACTGTTGGCAGGAACTAAATATCCAACACGATATATATTATTGGTGATGCACAGTGGAACCACTTTAGCTGCTTTTGATCATTATTATTACTTATGATTATTTCTCGTTCTATGTAAATCACTAGCATTCCAAATACATATCTGATTTCACAGTAAAAAACATGTAAGAGAACAAGTCTATTTCCCTTTATTTACCTCTGCTACTCCAGACCAGAATAAAGGAACCTCCTTGGGTTGTGCGGCCTCCACGTCCTTTATCTGTTCCTTCATTTTTTCTTGAACAACTTTTACCAAAGTAAACACAATATATCAAGAAAAAAAGGTAAAAATGTGGTTAGTCCAGATAAGCTCATCTAATAACAAGTTGTCTTTGCCACGAAAAATACGGAAAGAACATAATATTGCCCACAAGTCTACAACTACACAGCCAAGCTAGTTGATGATGTCCTCGCCCCTTTATCTTTACAATTTCACATTTTCTCTTACTTTCATTTGTTTTACATTTTCACAATTTTATTTTATTTTGTGCGCGAACATAGTAAAGCCTAAAACTAGCTCAAGCAAAATGATCGTGTATGTCCCTCTTTTTTCTGCATTTATATTTGTTTTACATTATACTATCATTATTTATTTATATTTTAGGGAGGAGGGCTAAGCCATTTGCGTCTCCTTATAAAGGTCTATTTGAGTTGAATCTCCTTTGAAAGTCCTATCTTAATTTATTGAAATTTAACAAAACAGAAATAAATTGGCAAGATACTGAAGTTTCTTGATTACTTTTTTATGCCTGCGGAAAGAATGTTCACCTCTGATCTACCGTATGGGAGCAAAAGTGCATCATTAGAATGTGAACTTATAAAAATGTCAAATCTTACATATTTCCATGTCATACCTTGTAATCGCGAAAGAAGGTGAGACTGAATATATTTCCCGTTAATCTTTCTTGAACCATCAGGAATATTGTAATTAGCAATTTCTTCTGCCAAATTAACCAGAGCCTGCAGAAGACGATAGGAATATCGAATACTGTAATCAAATGTTCAAACATGGCCCTACTTATATCCTAAAGGACTAGAGTGCAGTGAAAAAATTATTGAAGAAGGAAACCTGAATCTCAAGATCCATAGTGGCAAGTTCACTTTTGAAACTAATCAATGAGTTCTCCGTTGTTTGTAACTGCAGAGACGTGTCATTGGTAACAAAACAATCTGAAGACAGACTATGCATTCCATTATCTTGATAAAGTATCTATTTCACACTTTATGTTGACCAAGTCAAACAGAATAGAAAATCAAAATTATGAAAATTAATCTCACAAGTGCAAGACACTAAATTGATTCCCTCTAAGGCTTGAAAACCTTCCATATTCCTAGTTCAGTTAATAGACAACTAACATTGAGCTACACTGGCTTCATAACATGTAACATGTTTGCTTCCGGGTCATTTTTTTCCCCTTCTCCCTTCTCCCTTCACTCTTTTATTATTGGGTAAGAATTGAATGCACAGATCTCACAGTTACTTTTGGCAACCAGAAGTCAACTAATACATATTGCTTCAATCCAGTTTCTATTCAACTTCAGACCCCAAACTAGATTTCATATAAACATGAGTTTATAAAGAGGCAGTTGCTGTATTTAAACAGAAACAATATCTAACATTATTATTGTTATCTATAGTTGCCTTTACAATCAACAAAAAGATGAGAAAAAACTACTTACAACTTATCAGTTGAAAAAAGAGAGAGTTTTAAACTGATTTAAGCATATTAAGAAAGAAAATCGAAGAAGTGGATTTTATAGTGATTAGAATTGCGAGATCACAAGAAAATGGATGAACTATCTTGACAAGTTCTTTGCAAGACACTACCAGGCGAATATTTCCAATTTTATTGAAGATAGATATGTCAACTACAATTGATGGATCTGGATGCAAGAACTCAGGGAAAAAGGAAGAAGATGAAGATGAGAAAAGCAACTGCATTAGATGGAATCCCAATCGAAGTGCAAAATTTTATACAAGTTGATAAAATTATTTTATTAAGATCTTACAGAAAAAACATGTTTGATGCATGAAGAATGCTATGGTCTCTATATACAAGAGTAAAGAAGATTATAAAATTTGCACAAATTTTATAGGCATTAAATTTGTATGTCACACAGTAAAACTATGAGAGAATGTGGTTGAATACAGATCAAAGAACTACTTTGATTTTATGCAGGGGAAATCTACAGAGGTAGTCATTTACTTCAAAGCAAAAGTGGCATATAATTTTTCTTGAGCTAGAAAGAATTTATGATAGGGTTTCTATAAAGAGTCACCCACTCTATCATGGTGTTATGATTCCAAAAGACAGTCGAGAATGGGATCTGTGACCAATATAATTACTTGTACTTGAAATACTTTGTTTACATATTATTGTAAAACATGCTCATGTACCTTATAGTTGACCATACATTTCTTAGAGGTCTAAGGGTCAGCACCGTACATCTACTAGAGCTTCCTTTGCTCTAGATAGATTTTGACTATTATTCAATTATTAACACTTACTTACTATTATTCAATTATTAACACTTACTATCTTCTTTCTACTTGACATTCATTTATGCCCATTCCAATAAAAGGTATAAAATGAACCCGATATTGAAGTTTTGGCTCACTGATCAGACAATTCTTTGCAATCCTGTAACTTCGGGTCTCATTTGATTTCCTCTCATCCTTTTCACTATGACGAAAGCATAGACATAATGTTGCATATTTTTACTTGCATGTGGCACAGAAAATGCAATGGCCTTAGTTAACTAGTTGTAACAGAAAAAGAAGCAAAGATCGAAAGTAACTACAAGAGGATACATATATAAATATCCAAATGCAACAATTCAAATTTTTAAGTAGAAGTAGCACTATAATAAGTAATACTATTCCAACATCAATTACAGGACAAATGCAAATCAACAGTATAACAAACTTAAATATCTATTCAAATCATTATAGACCTTCTTCTGACATTTTTGACACATTATTGAGGTCATTAACTAACATGATGAAGATGATTAACAAACCTGACGCTTCAAGAACCGATTCTGTTGATTTGCTTCACTCAGTTTCTTGATAAGCTTTGATCTCTCAGAATCGGCCAGCAATGCCTTCAGCTGTTAAGAAGTGAGAGTAGGCTGTGGTAGAAAGCATCATCCAGGAAATACGGCACTAAAGGAAATAACCAAATATCCACATCCCGTAAAATAAAGGCAACAAAACGCAATGTAGACAATGATAACATTTTCTATGAGGCTCGAGAAAAATTTCACATTCCCATTTTCTCCTTCAACTGATTGGTAGTAATCTTTACCTCATCACTACTTAAAGGTCGTGGGGCTTCCTCAGGTGAATCCTCAGACATAGACTCCTCATCCTTTGCAAAAGTCTCTGTTACTGTTGATGATGAACCCTCCTCCACACTAACTGGCTTGCAACATAATCTCCAAGATACATGGTGCTTAGCATTTTTCGAAAATAAAACTCGATTAGATTTTGTCAATCGTTGGTGATCCACTACAGAACTCCAACCAGCCATATTACCCTGATTTCTAAGAACATTTTTCATCTTGATCCTGCCACTTATCATTTGGTTGACATCAAATGGAAACAGAAAGTCATAAACCATGCTCATAAAAATATTCAGGTTGACAAAATAGTACAGATTTAACAAGAAAAAATCATCTTTGTAACAAAATATAATGCACACATAAACAAAAAATTAACATTAGTTTCAGATATCCATTATATAAAAGAACATAAATATACAAAATTTCTAATGCTTGACAAAGACTCACTTTGTGAAGACCGTCTTCCCTGCTGTACTTACTACATAACACTCCATATTTTAAGAGTTTCTACAGCAAAGAAATAAAGTAAGTCAGTTGAGGCATTTAATCAAACACATCGAATACATTGCGTTGCTTCAACAAGTTGCAGAAAAAACACTTCGATTCTATAGTAAATTGATTTAAAGCATGAAATTAACTGGGATTCATGAGATTAAGGTAAAAACACGCACAAAAAGTGATCTTGGAACTGCTACGGCTCGCCACTGCTTGTTTCCGCTGGTGCTTTACTGTGTCTACTGAGTGCAAGGCAGAGAAGCCGCGTCAATAGCATAATGACACGTTCGGGCATTTCAAGCCACGTGTAAAGATTTAGATTAGAGCATGTGGGCAATAAACTCAAACTCAGTAGTTGAGAGACGGCTGTATAAAACTGGGCCCACTTGAACATCCTCTTAATCAGCTATTTGGGCCTTGTCGAAGTTACTGGCACGTGGCGCCACTGCCGCAACATCATTTGAAGATGAAAAAAAAAAAAAAAAAAATGTTTCGCGTACATTTTGTCACATCGGTATCGATACAAATTCTGTTAAATTTTTCTTATACTTATGATTTTATTGCATATTTTAACTATGAAACAATTCAGGGCCTGTTTGAGTCACATTATTCCAAAAAGAAATATTTTTAAACAGTGATTTGATATCATTTCAACTACACATTCTTCAATAAAATAATATTACACGCAGATCAAAAAAATTTCCTTATTTTTTAACCACACATTTTCCATTAATACATTATTCAAGAATGTATTATTACCAAAATAATATGGCTCAAACACCCCCACAATTTTCAAATTTTAAGTTTTAAAATTCAAATCTCAAGTTTAATTAATTAATTATTAAGGTCACGATTATATAATTAATGGTGACATATGTGTACTTATAAATCACAACTTATTTATTGATCACATATTATTAAATTAATTGATAATGAATTATTTTATGGTTACAATAAAAATTTGGATAGATCACAAATTAAAAAAATTATAGGTCACTGTTTATTTGTCAGTCATAGATTTTCAAATTAATTGGTCACTTATTACTTTTCAATCACAAATTATCGAACTTTTAGGTCACAATTAAATAGTTAGTCACAAATAATCAAATAGCTGGTCACGTACCACAACCACTGCCACCAACACAAACACCGAAACAACCTCAACAATCCACCACCACCTTTGATTGTAGAACACCTGACCACCAACTACAAAAGTATCACCTATTACACAACATAGAATCACCACACCTACACCACCGCACAACAAAGAACAACAACAAAACAATACAAACCACCACAAAATAGGAGGGATCTGTGCGAACTTGACCTTTTTTCTACACAGCGTAGCCTCTCCACATCACCATTATTGTGCGCGACCTCTCTGCATAGCCCCATCATCTCCTGTTGGTCGGCGAGACTCTCACAGCGAAGAAGATGATAGAGAGTGGTCTCTAGGGCAATGATCCTTAGGGATCGCAGCGATGGCAAGTCCATTTTTTAGGGGAGGGTTAGAGAGACGGTATAGGAAAATAAGGGGCCGTTTGAGCCCCATTATTTGTAGATTATAATGAGATGAATAATATTTTTTTGAAAAATGAGTAGTTGAAAAGTTTTTGATTTACGTGTAATATTATTTTATTGAAAATTGTGTGGTTAAAAGTAAGAGAGAGAAAAATTTAATTTAATGTAATGAGAAATAATGAGGTTCAAATGGGGGCTAAAAGGTAGAGGAAGATGAGGGAGAAAATAATCAGGGTTCGAATGATTAGGGTAGAGATAATTTGTATATAAATTAATTTATAATAATATTATTAATACTAAACACTTGATTAATGAACAATGAAACTTATCACCCGGGTTTAGAATTGTATTTTTCAAAAGACGAGTGCAAGGTAATTTCCACTTGTACAAAATGCGTAAACTAACCAAGCGTGTAAGCTAATTAGGCTTACTAGAAATTGCACTGCCTACCTAATATTTAAAAAATATTCAAACAAAACTTTTTAACCTTTTTTATTCAATAATTAAATTTAAGTAAAAATGAAATGTAAAAACAACACAATTTCTAAATTATATTAAATATGGCAACTTAATTTCTTCCACCAAACATGCCCTTCCTATATGTTTGACAATAATCAAAATTCCCATTGTTACCTTTTCATATTTTGTGAATATTGACTCTCACATGAATCCTCTACCAAAGAAATCCCAAAAAAAATCCCAAAAGATTAACAAAGTAGATTTACAGCAACACTATAACCCGTTGTTTCATTCGATATACCCATTTCAAGATCATCATCTTGTTGTTATTAGGGCTCTATATTCCATATTAAAACTCTAACCATAGATTACAACAACAAACCACAAGAAAAATTGTAAAACATTGTTTGTTGTTGAAGTTGCAATTCCAGATTCAGACACAGATTCAGATCGACCATGGCATCACCAACTCGCAAATCAAATTTGTGTTCAAACAAGAATAAGCAAAAAGTAGAAAGTACATTCCCAACAAATAGGTGATTCATCGAAGTCACTAGAGATTATCGAACCCGAAATAGAAATATTTAAGCCTCCTTCATGTCATACTATTCACTCTATAACAGTATTGTCAGTTCATTTCAATGTCTCAGCCACGATTGTGACCTATATATGATAAAGTTTGCTAAGTACATCATAAATCGAAAAATTGATCTGATTGCTGAGACAATCGACCCAATCACATCTAGAGCTAACCTTGCATGTCAGCTTTTCAAACTTGGATGCGAGAAGTTGATTGAAGAGTATATTACAGATTTCCACATAATGCCTCACAGCATAAGGTGGGACAGGGAGTTGAATGGTGATACCATAGATGTTTTTGAACAGTTTCCTTGGAATGTTTTAGTTAATTCTTTTGATCAATTAGTTGAAGTGGTAGATTTAGTTTCAATTTCTACGTTTTATCGTTCTGATCTCTTTTGACATTTTTTTGGTATTATCAGAAATATGATATGTTTATCTCATATTGCAACGTCAGTACCATGTTTTTTAGGCATCTTCTTGTTAACGTGCCATATCAAGTCTGATGTTTTAAAATGCTATTATGTATCTTCTAGGTATTAGGAAAGTAGATGTGTTTTTCTTGTTATATCCTGTATGTACATATATTTTTCTTATACCAAATTCCACAAAAATGAACAAGTGTAGGATATTAGTTCTGATCATTTGCTACTTTCTGGTTTCGTTAGATTATTCATGATTAAGGCAAACGATTTCTGTGGATTCTTTCTTCTATTCTAACTTTGGTCTTTCACATTTCAACTTTCCATGTTCATCTTGGGCATTAGGGATGTGCTCAATGGTGATATTGTTTCACTATTGGTGACTTGTTCTTTTGTATTATTCGCAAGGTGGTCAAGTAAATAGCTTCTATTAATAAAAAAATTCAAGTCGATTGATAGTCAATTATTCATTTGTCCCAAACTCTAGTGACATTTAAATTCACCTATAGTCTACATTGAATCTCATAAATAATTGTCTCTTGTCATTAAAAGAATCTAAATTAGTGCTTGAAAGTCTGGACTATAAAGATCATGGTGATCACAACTTTCGAGTTGACCAATGGATTGTCATGCTGGCAAATGGTAGAAGCTACAACATCAAAAATCTACCTACACATGTTCATTTCTAGTTTAGTTCATGTCTTGGTAAGAAAATGGCATTAGAGTAATCAAAATGTGTTGTCAGCCAAGTAAAGTGCTTGGAACATGGAATGGCAATTGATTGTCGCTACATCTAAAATTCTGCACTAATTCATTAAAAATATTTAAACAAAACGCAAAGTTGTTATTGTTGGAAAAATTCCAACATATGGAGCCACACATGTACATATATTAAAATGTGTGGTGCTATTTTAAAGTTTAGTCAATAAAGCGATCCATTAAAGTTAATTTTGGGCTAATAGGTAGTAATTGACATGGAAATAAAATGTAGAGACCACAAGGGTTATTTTAAATTAATGAGAGGTCAATTTAAAATAATTGAAAAAAATAACTGCTTAATGCAGTTATTTATCATGGGTCATGGTTCCCAATTGAACGTGATATTCTCTCTCTGCATCCTTATCAACAAAGAAGAATTTTTAAGAAATTACGTATCAATTGGAAGATCAAAACCCGTTCAAGAAATCACATCTATGGATCAAAGTATGCTTCCATTTTTAATCTTCTCTTTAAGTTCCATATGGAGGATTTATGTACATTTTATGAAGGGCTCTGATAAAATTTTAGTAGAAAACTTAATCCTTCCGATTCCTACAAATGGTATTAGAGCAATTCCATTGTTGAATCTTTGAGAAATTGTAAGAATTAAGCTTTTAACAATTCTGAATTTTGGGTTATTTGATCTTCTATCAAGTGATTATATGGAATTTAGTTTTTGAATTATTTTTAAAAGTTTTCAGATATGACAATTTCGAATCTGTTTTTTGTTGTATTTGTGAATCCTTTGGCATATTTTCATGGTCATCTTTCTAGATTAGGATTAAAAGTTTTGGAATATCGGTTTGTGGATTTTTTGGGTTAAAAAAAGGGATCTGGTCACAGCACTACTGCGAATAGCGTCGTAGCGCTACAGTGGCTGCTGCAGGGCACTGGTGATCTAGTATGGTGTCGACGCGCTGGCCGCTAACGCTACTAGAGAGAAGGATTGGATGGATTTTTGGGACGAGGGCCTAAGGTGCAATTTCAGTAATCTCAGGCCCTTGCTTGCAATTTAAGATTAGGGTTAGGTTATACCTTTAAAATATAATTTTAAATTCCAGTCCCTAAAGTTTGAAATCCATCAAAGTTGGACCTTTAAAATTATGGGTTTAATAATTCAATCCCTGAAGTTTTAAAATTATTTAATTTGGCCTATTAAAGTTCTTAATTTTACAATTAATGCCCTTAATTTTTTAAATTTTGACCCCTAAAGTATTGAATTATTAACCCTTATGTCCCTAAAGTTTTAAATAGACAATCAAATTCAAATATTTTGGTAAATTATTCATGATAAATTAAGATTATCTAACATTTTAAATAAACTAATTGAAACCACATGTCAACAAAGTGACCTCTCTTGTATAGATTGGTTTGTTTGGGATGTTTAGATGTTTGTGTGTGTGTGCTTGTTTATACGGCTATTAGCCGGCTCAACGGAAGGTCAATATTTAGCCGAATTGCATACACACTTGTGGTGGTAAATGTGTGACAATTATAAAGTTTTCATGTGAATAATAAATCAATCCAAAGATGGGTTTATTATTTGACATGAGTTATTGTGAATGTTTGATAACTACGCCAAGAGCATCACTTGCAATTAATATCACTGTCCAAAGACTTGATATTAATGTTGCA